GGTGGAACTCGTATTTGTAACGTCCAACAGAGAAGCACACTGGGCTCGGTTCGACCAACCCGCAACTGGGGCTTGCCTGCATGTCAGGCTTACTTTATTGTTTTGGTGTATCCTCTCCTTCGTCTTCCGTACGTGCATGTGAGCTGCGCTATCTTAACTATCGATGCTACATACTTCCCTTCCCCGAAAGCTTTCAACTCCGACGCTTCAGCACAGATCTACCGAAAAACTCCGGTGCTTTGCGCACTCGGTTCGGATACCTAGGGTTCCCGGTTGCCGCATCACTCTTTGGGACCGCCGCCAGGGATCTCGCGTTCCATGTCCTTCCGTCTGACATTCGGAATGTGGACTGCCCCACCTGACGGTCCACTCTGACGGGTGCTGAGAATCGCCACGCACCCTTCGTTACAATTCCTGGTTTCTTTATCCGCACTTTGTCACCCTCTCGCACCCGTGTACCTGACCGATGACCGACTTCGTTTTCCTTTTCGAGTCTTCTCCTTTGGTTTTCTTCGATGCGTGATTTGATCTCTCCTGACGGCTTAATTCTGCGTAGTTCATGGAAGTCTGTGATTTGAACTCCGGATCTCATTGCCCGGCTGTGCAGCAGTACCGACGGTGACTCGCCGGTAGTGGGATGAGGTGTATTCCTGTAGTCGGCCAACATTTCTTGTATCACAATATCTAAATTATTCTTATTCATTGACATGAGTTCCGCTGTTTTTAACATGTCGCCTAGGACTCGATTAAATCTCTCGACGAGTCCGTTGGCCTGAGGGTTATATACCGCTGTTCTACAGTGTACAATATTATGCTGCTTCATGAACAAGTCAAACGTTCGGCTCACAAATTGAGGTCCGTTGTCCGACACTATCTCTTTCGGGGTTCCTTCGCACGTGAAGACATTCCTCAAGAACAGAACAATTTTTTCTGAGGTCGCCTCTGACATGAATCGGACAACTGGCCATTTCGAGAAGTAATCTACTACTACCACTGCATAGCGAAACGGGGGTGGTAACCTATAATGAGGGCCTCGAACATCGATACCGATCTTCTCCCACGGACCTGTGGGCGGCGGCACAACCTGTGCCAACGGTCTCTCTGTTCTAGCCGACTTGTCATGCGAGCCACAAATCTCGCATAACTGTACAAGGTGTTCCACCCCCGCGTCCATTCGTGGCCACCAATACCAGTCTCGAACCGCCTTTTTTGTTCGAGCCATTCCCTGATGACTCGTCCCGTGAGCCGCTTGTATTATTCTCTCTCTCAAGCCTGTCGGCAGCACAACTTTCTCTCCTCTCATGAGAATTCCATCAACGACACTCAATTGTTCATGGATAGACTGGAAAGAGCGCAGGTCTCCGGTTAGTTTCTCAATTCCGAATTTCGTTGCGATTATCCGGACAACCTCTGCCAACGTCTCGTCCCGCGACGTTTCTAGACGAACTTCGTCCAGCGTCAATGGAGCCAGAACGCCCGCCATCTGTGCTACGATTACCTCGCCGTCGTCATCTACCTCCACCGCCCCCTCCTGTGCCTCTGGTAGTCTCGACAATGCGTCCGCAATCACGTTCTCGACTCCCGGCTTGTACTCAACGTCGAAAGCGTACGCTCCCAGCCTCTCCGCCCACCGCGCCAACCGTATCGACCTACGGTCTGCTCCCTTCGTTCCGAAGAGCGAAACCAGCGCCCTGTGGTCTGTCTTTAGCGTAAAACGTCTCCCCCAGAGGTATACATGCCATTTCTCTATCGCCCATACGCACGCCAAGGCCTCTTTGTCACTAGTGGAGTACCTGCGTTGAGTTTCTGACAGCGAGCAGGATGCGTACGCCAGTGGTTCTAGCTTGCCGTTGACCCGCTGCTGCAACACCGCCCCCAAGCCATAATCCGAGGCGTCGGTGGTCAGCACCAGTGGTAACGCTGGGTCGAACACGCGCAGCGGCGCTGCCTCCGCTATTGCTCCCTTGACGGCACGGAACGCTAATCGTTGTTTCTCCCGCCAGTCGAATTTCACTTCTTTCCGAAGCAATTCTCTGAGCGGTTCCACCAATTCTGCGTAGCGGGGGACACATTTGAGATAAAACCCCGCCATGCCCAGGAAGGAGCGCAATTGAGAGACATTCTTTGGCTCCGGCACATTCTCTATTGCTTTAACGTTGTCCGGCAATGGTTTCACCCCCTTAGAACTCACAACATGGCCCAGGAACTCCGTCTCCTCCACTCCAAACACACACTTGTTGTTCACCTTCAAACCCCTTTCGCTAAGGGTCCTGAGGAGCCCTCGTACCCTTTCATCGTGAACCTGCCTCGTTTCGCCAACGACCAAAACATCGTCCAAGTAGCAGATAACTCCCTCCAAGTCTTTCAAGGTTTCTTCCATGAATGCCTGGAACGCTGCCGGGGCCGAAGCCAACCCGAAACAGACGCGCGTGTATCTGAATAGCCCCCACGGTGATACAAACGCCGTGAGATCTCTCGATGATTCATGCAATGGGATCTGATGATATGCCGACCTCAAATCGATTTTCGAAAAAACTCGGCCTTTTGCCAGTCGCTGCATGAGATCCTCAATATGTGGCAAGGGAAACGCGTCCTGGACCACCGCTTTATTTACCTCCCTAAGGTCCACGCACAACCGAACATCGCCGTTTTTCTTCTCGGCAACCACGATCGGGGAAACCCACTCTGACGCCTGAATACGTTCAATTACCCCCTCTGTTCTAGTCGATCGATGACCGCTCTCACTCTTTCTCGTATCGCGAACGGCAGGCCGGCGGCATCTCTGTTGCTTTGGCGTTACCTCTGGCCGAACCCTAACTTTATGGCAGAAATGTCTGACGTTGCTCGGTCCGTCATCAAAGACCTCCGGAAATTCTGACTCAAAATCTAGTTCCCTCAACGATGCGACGTGGCAGGTCCCCTCTCGCACGTTGATCGTCATTCCCGATTTCCGCATTATATCAACTCCGAGGACGTTAGCCCCGCTCCGTGCTACGAAGAATAGTCCTCTCACGCTACGTCCCTCATAATCGACCGAAGCCTCTGTCACTCCCACCGTTTCAATGATTTTTCTATTGTACGCCCATATCTTTCGATTCGTTTGTTTCAGAGGTGTTTCCCTGAGGTAGGTTTTGTACGTGAATTCATTCAAAACCGAGACCTGAGCTCCCGAGTCAATCATGAAATCTATGTGTGACCCATCCACTCGAATTCTACACATTATAGGCTGATGGTCTCCTCCTACAGAATACACTGATGCTGATATACCTGTCTGTTGAATCTCCGACTCCTCGCATCCGGCTTCTGTATCTTCTTCGATCGCACGTATTCCACGACGCCGACATTCCTTCGCGAAGTGACCCTCGACGCCGCAGTTCCAACATTTAGGCCTCGCGGGTGGCGCCCGGCTTTGGCTCCGTTTGCGCTGTGATGACATGCGGGACTCTTGACGCGTATTTGGGGTCCTTCCTATCGCGTTGATAGCATTAGGGTCTCGCAAGGCCGTGGCCACCTGTGCGCTTATCTGAACGGTCGCCGCCAAGCGCCGCGCCTCCACATCAGCCGCCTCGAGCCGGACGGCCATTTGCACGGCGTCCTCCAATCCGAGATTGTCACCTTCCAGCAGCAACCGCTCTCTGATTTCGCTGTTTGATGTTCGTGCTATGAGCTGGTCCAGCACCGCCTGATTTTCGGTATAATGCCGGAAGTCGGCCCTAGCAGCCAGCCTTCTGAGATTTGTCACGAACGTTGCCACCGATTCGCCCTCGTGCTGTATTCTCGAGAAAACTCGCACCGACAGACGACTTTCGATTTCCTCTTGCAGAATCGGTCTCTTAACCGCTGCACTGTGTCGTCGTATTCGGGCTGCTGACTCTCCGCGCTCACGGGATGGCTCAACGGGGCGTTTTTCGATGCGTGAAACTGTCGTTGGCCCTCCAATCCGAGAGCGTTGAGCAAGGTGGCCTTCTTCCTCAGATCGGAGAAGTTCTCTCCGTCCTTCGCCAGCAGATACGCCAAAAACACTTGATACCACTCGTCGAAAGGAATCTGTGGCTCTCCTGGTTCCGCCAGAAACGGAGGTGGGGGTACTGCATCCATGACGACTGCGCCAATTTGTAACGTCCAACAGAGAAGCACACTGGGCTCGGTTCGACCAACCCGCAACTGGGGCTTGCCTGCATGTCAGGCTTACTTTATTGTTTTGGTGTATCCTCTCCTTCGTCTTCCGTACGTGCATGTGAGCTGCGCTATCTTAACTATCTATGCTACAGTATTCTTTTCCGTGCGACTGTAACACGGGTTAACCGCAGGCACTAAAATTTGATCCTTTAAGAATTCTCCAATAAACGCCCAACCTGTTAGGAAAGCTCCGTGGGACGGGTAGATGACTCACGATTAGAGTGGAGCGAGACTTCTATGTGCTTCACGAGCTCGTTCCCCAAAGGGAATTTCTCGCCAAGTCTCAGATTCGCCCGTGAAAAGAGAAGTCCGAACGTTTTAGTCATTCATCGAGGATACAACCTCCTCCTCCCGTTCGACTTCGATCAATGCGAAGATGCCTCACGCGAATCCATATCGTGGTCTGCCCTCCGCGTCGGATGACCTCCTCGAGGAGTCCATGGAATACCCGATGGAACATGATGAGGAGAACTCTTCGCCTCAGGAGGCCGACGATTAGCGTGATGAATTTCCAGCCAGAATGTCGCTTCCGGACGCTCAGGCTTGGAACGGTGTGATCCCGAATGACCTCCCTCGGCCCAAAACGTGCCAGACCATACTTGGTATGAAGGGAGGCTCCGGGAGGAAGCGATGGCTCGAAGTCGTGTCCGAAGAAGGGCCAGCGGGGCAAGGGAAGATCTGCGAAACCTGACACTGCGGAACCTGATACCGCCACAGGGGACAATGAATCTGTCCGGGAGACAGGCGAAGCGGAGACACTCGAAACACTAGACGAGATTCTGGAGACGACGGAGCTGAGATTCGGAGCGGATTCCGAGCAACAGGAGGAGGAAGCGTCGTTCGGAAAGTAGACAAGCCCGAGGAAATTTGAGAACCGACACGAGTGAGAGAAAGCTCTATCCGGCCCCAGAAGTTGGCCGAGAGTGTGGATACTTCTTCGTCGTCAGCGTCATCAGGGGAAATCCAGATTCACGCAGACCCAGCGATGTATCCGGACCCGGAACCACGGGGGTCACCGAATGATTTGAATACGGCTATAATGGAGTCCCCGGGAGCGGGATCAGGAAGGGGAAACCCGCAACCTAGACGTTCTAAGAGGGCGGAGTCGTTCGGGGGGAATTATTCGAAGTAGCTGGCGGGACGCCAGTAGTGTAGCGTGGTCGAGCGTAGGTACATAGGAGAGAAACAAAGGTAGAGCGCGGGCGGAAGGAAGAAGAGACTACGAGATGGAGTCGGAACGGATGCTATGAATGTCAGTCTTAAGCGCGGTGTGGGATTTCGTCAAATGTTCGGCTTGAGATGCCGGGAGGATGTCGCGTCGTCGAGAATGTTCAGCAATGTCTAGGAAAATGTCGCCGAGCACATCGGAAGGAGGGAAAGGGAATTCCGTTTGAGACGAGAGCGCCGACGCGATCGTAAAGTCTTTTCGTACCAGTCGTCGGACGAAGCGTTTGTGTGAACAAAGAGGTGAATTGACAAGTGGTGCATTGAACAAAGTGAGGAGCATTGAACTTGTGGTGCGAGGAAAAGAAACAGTTACGGTGTAAAATGGCGGATCGGAAGTTTTGCGCAGGTTGCGGGTGCAACACCCATGCCACCGGCTCGGCAAGGTGTAAGGCCAGGGGAGCACGATACTCCCTGTGCCGACTAGTGAGGCATTACGCCCGCTGTTGCCCGAGGGCGATCTACGAGACGTGCCTGACGTGTGGGCGTGTCGGGCACCTGTCGACGGCGTGTCGAGAGCGCTGGGTCAGGCCGAGCGGCCGGGGAGGAGGAGGGGCGGCCTCAGTGGCCTTAAAGAAAAAGAAAAGAAGGGAAAAGTTCTTGGTGGTCTTCACAGCCGCTCGCTGTGAAGTCTTTATCAGGGACAACGTAATCGCGGACTTCCTCTGCGCTGTTTGAAGGAGGTTCTGGGACCTCGAGACCTGTTACAAAATAGGCTTTGGCTGTGCTGTGCTGTGGTGGGCCTTGCGATCTTCGCAGGCTCCGTTTGCATTTTCATCGAAGAGTACGAAACGGATTCGAAGTTCAAAAGCACTGCGGAGCTTGTGGCTGGCTTTATTCGCGATAGTATTTTCGGCTATCGTGGTGTTCATAACGTACCGACGGGTGGTCGAGTGCTTAGCGCGTTTGTCACTACTCGTGCAAACGTGCGTTTCACTTCGTGAAATGCCGCAACGACGCCGCTCGCGCGGGAGGCAGTGTGGGTTCGATCCCTGCTGCCGGAAAAATATTCCTTACGGAAACGCAGGAACTCGGCCTTGATCCTCCTGGGTACATTCGCTCTATGGATCTGTCCTCGGAAGCAATGTGAATAACAGTACCCGGGACGTTAAACCTTGGCTGTGTGGTTCAGCCCGAAAAAGTTAGGGACTGGTCCATTATATTCATTGTGTTTCTTGAAGACCTTCCCCTCATAATCACGACATATATGCTTCTTCCACCAAGCGGGTATACATTAGTAGAATCCATAATGCCCATCGAAGAAGCAGCAGCCCGCTGCGTAGACTGCCTCCGTGATAACGTTTTTGCAGATTTTATCTGCGCCATTTGGAGGCGATTCTGGGACCTTGACCCCTGCTGCAAAACAGGGTCGGGTTGTCTCGTGACCGCCAAGTTGAGCGCAGCGAGGATTCAAGCGATTGTGCATTCCGGCGCGAAGTTGATCCGAGCGCGAAGGAGCCTGCAGCGCAGCGTCGATTTGAGCACGACCTACGGTTGAGCGCAAGCAGTTTCGAGCGCATGCCATTCTCGGCGCATGCTTCCCGGAGCGCAACGAAAATTCGAGCGCAGCGTCGATTTGAGCGCAGCGTAAATTCGAGCACAGCGTGCGGTTAAGCGCACAAAGCCTTGTAAAATTGAGTTTTGAAACTGACTGGATTTACACAATATGGCCTTATTCTGGGGGCCTTCTTGCCAATCTCACATTCATTAATGAGCATACAGTCCTAGGTTTTCATTGATGAGAGTTTCCTCGATGGAATTCCCGTGGCGTCGCAAACGCGAAAACTTCACGCTCATTATTTGCAGCACTATATGGCAGACATTCTGTATGAGCTGTCCTGAGCGGAGATGCGCGCATCACAGAAACGTGCACCAAACGACGTCTCGCTGAAATTATCATTCTGCGCGATGTCAACCAAGTGAGCCAGGCTGAGTTCATTGGCGGCAATCGATGCATCTTTTCTCCGGAACCGGTAGAAGCTTATCATGAGCTGCGAAATGCCTCTGAAGTTCGTGACCTCAACCAGAGGTAGGCCAATGCTTTGTGTGGGAGGTTTTGTCTTCCGCAAAGACCGAATCACGCTTGATAAGACAACGTGGCGTTGCGTGGAGAAAACTTGTCGAGCTCGCGGCATCAGCACCGCGGGCGGCACTCATAGTGAGAGTCATAAGGGACTTGAGGATCCGCGAAATTTTTATAAAGCATCCGGAACAATTTTGAGCATGAGCTCCCGTGTGACTGAGAGTGGTAGCGACTTTTCGGTCCTTCAAGTCAAGCCTTTCCCTCCAGGATCAACCTGAACACATGCACGCCCCGGACTCAGTCGGAATCGATGTCCGCGAGAGATTAGATTGCCTTGGTAGATCTGCGGCTCAGAAGACCTACGCGAAGTCGACCGCGTTGGTTGCCGCAGCTGTCAGCGAGGTCAGCTCACGCTCGACGCCGGGCAGTATGCCCAGACCAGACCCACTCCGAAGACAGGTCTTGCGCGCGAGAAAACGAGAAGCCCCGATGCATCCGACGAACCCCTTACGAAGAGAAGAATTGGTGATTCCAGATTTTTCGAAGGTATGCGTTTGTATACCCGAAGATTGCCTTCGTCGAAGTCCTTGACACCTTTCTTCCGTCTATGCTCTTCATGTTCCAGATGACCACCAAAGGCGACCCCTTTTTACTGTACGACTCTGGGGAAGGGGACTGCGAAAGGATGATAAACTTCGCCACCCCCGATGATCTCGAGCTACTGAAGACATGCGGCGAGTGGTTCTTGGACGGAACCTTCAAAGTTTGCCCCCTGATTTTTCATCAGATGTACAGCGTTCTCGTGAAGATTCCCGGCTCTCACAAAACTGTTCCCGTCGTGTATTCCTTGATGCCGGGGAAAACATCGAGAACTTACAGACGATTTCTGACAATCCTGACCAGCGTCCTCGATGACTTTCGGCCAGAGGTACTTCACGTGGACTTCGAGATCGCAATGGTCCGTGAACTCGAAACCACCTTCCCATCAGTCGATATCCTCGGTTGTAATTTTCATCTCAACCAGAGCCTTTGGCGCCACATACAAGCAGACGCCACGCTCCGTGATAAATATCTGCGGGAAAATGATTTCTCTCTGGACGTCCGTATGTTTGCCGCAATCGCCTTTGTTCCGCTAGGCAACGCAGAGACCGCTTTCGAAACCTTGTTAGAATCCGAATTCGTCCGAGAGAATAACTATATCCTCACCAATTTCATTAATTATTTCGAAAATACATGGATAGGTCGTCCTCGCAACCCGGCACTTATGTAACCTCAATGGTGGAATGTTCACGAAGCGACGCTTTCCGGGCAAGGCCGTACCAGCAATGAGATTGAAGGATGGCACGCAGCGTTCGCCGGCAGAGTGGGTGTTAGTCATCCGACATTTTCCAAACTCACGGAGCAATTGAGATTCGAGCGAGCCTTGACCGAGTATGCAGTCATCAACTTCCGTGCGAATGGCTCGGAAACTCAACCGAAGAAGTATCGAGATCGCCAAAAGAGACTTTTGGAATTGACATCGTCATTCGACATCCGCAGAACGATGCAGTTCTTGAATTCAGTAAAGGGAAATATATCATTCTAGTGATTACCGAGGCTTCGATGAGCCATTCAGGGAATTCCCCTATCCGTTCATCATAAGTTCCCGGTGAATGAGGGATTCGACCTAATG